AAATAGTTTGGGTTAACCCATTATGGCTTTTGCATCTTTATTGTAAATTTTTCTATGCAATGTACCAACAATAATTTAGACGATGTTATATTGTTATGCAATTATATAAAATCCCTCATACTCAATAAATTATTTCTTTGTTAAGATTTTTATACTGTCCAGTCTGAAATGGATTTCAGTTTAACATTTTATTTTCTCAAAAGAATCATTCAAAGTATCTCTTAATGTAAATCAGGACAAAAATTGCACTGTTAACCAATGATTTCCACTGGAAGCCGGAATTAGTATGGGCAAGAACGTAAAAATGTTGGAGGGGTGGATAAAGATGATAAAGATCTTCTGCTACCTTAACAATCTTTAAGATATTTAAGCGATGTACAAAATGGATGTATAAAATTGTTCTTAAAAAGAATATTTCACATTTTAGTTGATTTAAAAATATTTTTGTTGACATAAAATGCTTGAGCTATTAAACTGCGATGGGGGTACATATATTTTTAACCCCATATCTCTGTGAATAGACAGATGACCAATACATTTATCATGCCTAAAAGATAGTTCAAGCATCGGTTGACATAAATTAATACAAAAAAAATCAGGGTAAACAAATTAATTATTCTAATAGAGAGCTTTGTTTGAGTTTTGAGCTCAGTTACTTTATCAGAAATAACAAAACTGCGATTAATGGATTTTGCAAAGACATAAAATTTAGACCGTCTTTATAACAGTCGTGATTTTCTTTTTGGTACAAGAGGGCACATGAGTGTTTCTCACCCTTATATTTAAAGTATAGATTATCTATCTACTTTTTGTGCTTTTGAAGTAGATAAAGTATCTCTTAATGTAAATCAGGACAAAAATTGCACTGTTAACCATTTAATTCCACGAGTAGGGACCTACCTTAACAATCCGTTTTATTCAACAAACAACAGACTAAAGATGCTTGTAAGTGCAGAAATAACAAAACTGTAAATGATAAGGACCCTTGGGGTATCTAACAAGCAATAAAGAGGTCAGTAAATCTTTTTCGAAGTGACGGGGAGTTTGAAAGCTTTCTAAACGTGAATGTAAAGACGATCGACGTTTCTTTTTTGTTTGCTGACATCCTAAATCAAGAAGATATTCAGTATAATAAAATAAATGGTACCTGTTTTGGAGGGTACAGTTGAAATGGGCACCCTAAAGAAAAACAATTTTCAACCGACGCACCAGCGTACAAATTTATATATTGTGTACCTGAACTTTGTCATACATTCTTAAAACTTAATGTTTCTTGTTTTCCGATAAATTTTTGTCTGTTAATCACATAAATTCGTTATTATAAAAAACAAATTAGATAAACTTGATTCTGCTATATAAGATATTGTCTGCATTCTTTCATTTATTTATTTGTTTTATCATCAATTGGATTTCTCTTGCCATGTGTAAAGTTCTCTCGCACATCGATCAGTGAATGCACCCTTATCTCACGGTCCAGACGAAAAAGTTGAGACTGTAGGAAGGCATGCATAACAACCCTACGTAAAAAAGTTATATGTAGATAACATTAACATAAAGTATAATTTATTTCACATTTCAAAGATTTAACTCCCCATTGCATAAGGCTGTAAGTCATTACCCAACACATTTCGGAATAAGCACTGATGCGTGGTCATTTATACTGTTATATGTCACTTGACAAAAGAACTTTTTTTTACAATTTCACTATTGCGGTCTTATATCAAACGTCACAGAAAGCGTAATTGGCGACGCGAAAATAGCTGAAGTTAAGAGCTACAAGAGTTGTTGCTAACAGCAAAGTCATGGAGAGGTGACGTTTCTTGTAGTTTTTGAAAAAAAAATATATATCGAATTAATTAAAAAAAAAAATATGTAAATCAATATCAATCAACAGCAGAATATTATGTTACATATGCCTGTCTAAATTGTTATGTTCGTGTACGTGAGGAATTTTCAAATATTAAATTTTAATCTTTAACTTATTCTATAACTGTGTTTTTATGTTTAACGATCATTGTGCACTATATACCGTATAAGCAGTCTTTTTAGCGAGGATTTAATTTTGGCATTATTAGCGATGGGTTCTGAGATCGCTAAAATTAACTATGTTTATTTGTATTATCTTCATAAGTGAAAATTTTAAAATCGCTAGAATTACTTCTCGCTAAAACTAAAATGCCATGATTGAAGGACAAATTGCTAAATTCGTGTCTTGCTGAGATTTCCACTTATACGGTATTACACAGCTTGCATTATAAATATGACTTCACTCATAACATTATGAGGTCATTTTTGCTAAGCCATGGCATATCAGGAGAAATATAAACTGTTAATTTGCAAGGTATCTTTTGGAAGCATATTTGGAAATATAAATACTTAAAAATACGTTCAGACACATTTATGTTAATTTGTTATCTTCATGAAAATATAGTATAAAAAATGCTCACTTTTCTCGTCGGATTTTGATTTCAGTTCTAGCACATGCTGCTCCATAGAAGATATCTTTTCCACAACACGCTCTCCCAAAGAAGACACCTTTTCCACGACATGTTTTTCTGCAGAAGACACCTTTTTCACAACAAGTTCTTCTGAAGAGGACACCTTTTCCACCACACGCTCTCCCAAAGAAGACACCTTTTCCATGACATGTTTTTCTGCAGAAGACACCTTTTTCACAACAAGTTCTTCTGAAGAGGACACCTTTTCCAGCACACACGCTCCCAAAGAAGACATCTTTTCCAGAACATGTTCTTCGGCAGAAGACACCATTTCCATAAGACATTGGTTATTCTCATATTGCTCTTTCAGTCTTTTTAGGACATACTTTATGTTTTCTTCTTCTAAAGCCTGACTTTGAATATCACTCAGTCCAGACAAATAGTCTTTTTTTGTGTAGCTTTGCAGTCTTTGGCATATTTCAGTTATGATTAACCACGTGCCATGAAACTCTAAGTCTGTAGCAGAAGCCGAGCTTATATGTCCAAACATGTTGTTTCTTATCAATCGTATCCTCTCAATGTCATCACCGATCGTTGTTTCTCCTACTGACGGCATCGTGTTTCCACCCCAACCTTTTGTTGGACGAGGAATCTTTGTACACGTGTTTCTTATCAATGTATATAATAATGTTATATCAAATTCTTTATAACCATCTATTTTCGCGCCTATCAGACGAAGTTCTTGCTCGGGGCGTATCTTTTTATAAATTGATGATGCTTTCACTTTGCTGTAGACAAGACCAGGAGGTACCTGTATTTCTAAGACATCTCTACAGGCCTTTGTCAATTCTTCATTAATTGCCATCCCGAGTTTAGCAAACCTAGAACGACCGCCAGGGTTGGGTCCAAAAGCCATGCCGTTTGTTTGTTGTTTCTTGCAGTCTAATTCACTTTCTGAAATTATTGATCAATATTTCATCAATACTATCTTTTTTTCTAAATATGCAGATTCTTTACTTAATCACTACATAACAGATGAAGTAAAGGATGGAAGTTGATAATTGTATGAGAAAGCACAGAATAAATAAAGCAAAGGTATGGAAATCCAAGTCTCTCCATATTATACAAGGATTTACAAGAGAATTTAAGATCGTATTTTTAAACATTGTGTCTACACACAATGTTTATTTGAAAAGTATTAAAATACCCATTTTTAGATTTTTTTGATGCCATATTTACTTTCCTTTTTACAAAATGAAATCTAACCCTAATATTGAAAATAAGTGTAAAATGCATTGTGAATAGTTGAAAAATATTGAAATTCTATTTTAGGAAATGAGAAAGCAAAACAATTCAACAAATATTGACAGTTCGTATTACTTATGTGTGCCAACGAAACAAAAAGAACACCTTTAATAAAAAGTACTGTTTACAACACGAGAGCTCGAGAGCTCGTGCTAATATCTAATTTTTCAAAAACAAAAAAAAAAAGAATTAAATAAATTGTTTAAAATAAAATAAGAATATACGTACATATTTGAAATATACAATCCTTATGGGGATATAAACTAAGACACGCGCACTGATAACAGTGATGGTAAGGTATGCATGGATGACTTTCCTCCTACTTTCCTCAAAAGTTTACGTTGTTGAGATATAAGGTACACGGTGTGAAGTGAGGAGGGACTAACCCTAACATATTCTTTTACACTACCTTGTATGGGTGGCATGTTTCATCACGTGACAATGTTTTCGTCAAACCTATTGAATGAGTTATATAGCATGACGGTCAACCACCTGTCTCTAGTCTATATTGCATAACATTTGAATGGTCTCCATTTTGTTTCTTTTGATAACAAAATAAATTTAAAGATAAAAGACCAAATAAAAAAGTCAACTATTCAAATTAAATATAGAATTTATTTAAAATGATTACTATTTGCGTTTTATACCCCTTTGGGGCATTCTCCGTTAAAAGATCAGGATCATTTGAAAAAAAAAATACATAACTGTGTATCCATGATGAATACATTGAAAACCGCTGCTACAGACCTCTGTTAAGCTGTATTTGGATTCCAGTATATCAAATAATTTTGTAAGCCTTGGTGAGTAAAACGAATGCCGGTGAAGACTTGTTCTACCTTTTAAATATTGATTCAAGTAAGTAGTTATCTATATACAGCAAGTGTTTTTTTTTTTATCTTTGAGCCATAGAACTAATGTTTAGTTTGTATAAAAAGTGTATATGATTGCGCCCATGTGAAAAGGGTCCTTATGGCAATTTTTATGCATTTTGAGTTTTTCACGGATTCTGATAGACTAAGGTTAGAAGTTGTCAAATATGAATTTTTATGGTCCTACGTCAACTCTAAGTAGGTTTTTTTTTTCATTTTTATCAAATATACTTTAACAGATTAATAATGACGTCATGTTTTTCAACAACGTCAAACGTTTTCAGAGTGAACGTTAAATGATTTTCTTCTGTAATTTTACTACGGTGATTAATAGTTGTATAATATTTAATATTTTACCATGCACATTATTTTTATCTCATTGTCTCTTTTAATTATTAATAATTATTTAATAGTTATATATATATTATGGATTCATCAGTGGAGTATAGTATTATGAATGAGTGTTTGTTTTACATTTCACTTTTCTATGACACCAGGGGGAGACCTGAACAGCGGGCAACATCCATTCATTTTTTTTAAACAATTATTTCGTCAAACAAAATGTTTACTGGTAATCCATGCAAGAGTAATTTGATAAGCCTGTAGACTTCATTTCAAAATTATTTTAATTTAAACATTGCTCTCGATAGGTCAAGATTTCAGCATAAACGATATATCTTTAGTTACCATATATGTGAAAATTAATTTTTTAAAAATTATATCTGGAACAACATTACGCTACCTAAATGCTACTGCGAAACTGCGAAGTGAAAATTTATTTGATTGTTCTTTCTTAATTTTATATAAAGACAGAAAAATTTTGAAGTGTGGTACATGTAAAAGTACATTTGTAATTACGATACACAATAGACAGTAAATAAAAAGGAAATTCGGTTGATTCACTGCATCTATAAGGTTGTCTGTCTGCATTGGATCAATAATGACATTGCTTTTTTGAAAATATAAAGGATACACGAAATATTTTTCAGTCTAGCAGTAAAAATATTTTAATATTAACCAATCAAAAGGTGGAAATTTTACTAACAAATGGATGAGTTATAATCCGCTATCATTAACACAATAGATAAACCCAGGATTAACATTTGTAGGATTAAGTGTATGTTGGTGAAGGGGGGGGGGGGGTAAAAATCTAAATGGCAGAAATTTACAATTCTTGTGAACACGAGTTAAAATAAATAAAAAATATTTTTTTTACTTCAAAAGTTTTAGGTGCACCCAGTACCATTAACCCTACAACTTGCAGATTCACTTTTTTATTTAGATTTGAAATAATGCTGCCTATAATTCTTCATTTTATATTTGTACCTTTAATTCTGAGCATTGCCATTTTCAAAATCGCACAGCGATCATAAACACTATGAGCCTGGAACTGAATTGCTATGAATTCAGTATTGTTAATCATGTATACAATGATACCCTAGAATTAAAAAATCTGGTTTTATTTTATGAAATGGATGGTTTTAGAAGCACACCCATAGAATTAAATTAAAGATGCCATTTACGGTTTATATGTATAGCTTTTGTTGGGGTAGGGGTTGGTTAAAGATTAATGACATGTAATTGTTTATGCCTAAATATACAGTCAGTTGAATATGACTGTTTTGTATAATATATTTCCTGACAATTGTCTGTGAACTGGCTGAGCTTTGAAATGTCAGATTTTTGTAGGGATGTTAACATCTTAGAAAATCATCATATTATTAATGATCCCCACTTTTAGTGATGTACGGAAAACGTAGTATAAAAATTGATACTAAGAGAAGTTGACATTTAAAAAAAAGTTGGCCTCTACCCTCCTCTACTATTAGTGATGTACGGAAAACGTAGTATAAAAATTGGTACTGAAAGTAGTTGACATTAAAAAAAGGTGGGCTCTACCCCCACCCCCACAAAGTAGGATTTTCGACTTTGTGCAACATTCACTTTTTTTTGGCTTGTCAACTTTTCAGGGAAGTAAAAAAAAATTCCCTGGTTGCCCCCCCCCCCCCACTTTCAAAAACGATGCTACGTGCCTGGTGCCAGAAGCTTGGATATGCTAAGCCTTGTAAAGCCTACATGTTACAGAAATATATAAAGACACCCCCACCCCCATCCCCTGCACTGCAGCCAAAATAAAACAAAATGCAAGCATATTGTTGCGGTTTTATGTCATGTATTTTCAGCATTGAATTTTATTTTCTGTTATCATTTACATGTAGAAATAAAACCCGACCCTGAACTTATGAGGATTTTTTTGATCAACCAAAACAACTAAAATCATATGTGACCATATTTAATAATATTTATCCATAATTTGATGGCAGGTTAAACAATGTATTATTCCACACTGATCTCTGCAATGAGATTATAAGTTCAGTGATGATTGAGTTTTTAGCATCATAATTGATCTCTTAAGAGACATTCAATGCTGATCGAGCTTCTATGAAAGACAAAGTTCGTCATGGCTTAAGGAATTAATTTGAAGATAATGCTTAAAACATTTGAACTCCGTGTGAAAAAAAAACAACAACACGTAAGTACCAAAGAGTTACATGTATATTAAATTTGGAGTTCTTGAAAACAAATAGCTATACATGTATATAGTTTAGAGAACAAAAATGATATTTTCTTTCCCTTACTTATACTATAGGAAATGTTAATTGAAAACCTGGTTGGCCCCCTCACTTTTAGTGATGCACCGAAAATGAAGTATTAGACTTGGTACTGAAAGTAGTTGACACTGAAAAAAAGGTAGTATATCATCTTAGAAAATCATCATATTATTAATGACCCCCACTTTTAGTGATGTACGGAAAACGTAGTATAAAAATTGATACTAAGAGTAGTTGACATTTAAAAAAAAAGTTGGCCTCTACCCTCCTCTACTAGTAGTGATGTACGGAAAACGTAGTATAAAAATTGGTACTGAAAGTAGTTGACATTAAAAAAAGGTGGGCTCTACCCCCACCCCCACAAAGTAGG